TCTCCATCCATAGAATACAAACTCTCTACCACAACAAAAATGTTATTTTGTTCTTTGATTTGCTATTTAACTTCTGTTAACTTGACTTTAAGATGTTCAACATAATTATGCTTAAATGTTGTAATTAATAGTGCTCTGGATATTCTCAGACCATCATATATACTTGCATGTACATATTCATCGATAATTACAGCATCACCCAGTTGAGGAACACAGCTAAAAAATCCTAAATTTGCATCGTAACCAGAGTTAAATAGTAATGCGTTTTCAGCATTATGAAAATTTGCAAGAAATAATTCTAATGATTCTGCATATGCCGAATTTCCATCCAGAAGACGTGAACCTGTTGAACCAAGTGTTGGATGAGGAAATAATATAAGAGCACTTAAAAATTTCTTATTTAGTTCTTCATTTTTTTGAAAGTCCAAGATAATCACCGGAGATGAGATCGATGAATGGAGGCAGTGCATGCATTAGACAGTAATCGATGTTACGTTTTACTCATTTATCCATAATTTCTTCGAGTTTTTCTAATAATGGCATTGTAAGGACAGAATTTGTTATTAACGAATTTAGAGGACATACTGACTGATGAACTTTATTATTATAAAAATTGTTGTGCTTTATAAAATTTGTAAAGTCAAAATTTTATGGTTTTTTTAAAAAAAAAAATCTATGAATAGGGAGCCTCCCTATTGCTGCCACAAAGGAGGTCAATAGTGTATCAATAGGGACAATAATGCTCAATAGGGTACTAATAGAGTACCAATAGGGTACTAACCTAGGTTGGCCAATGGACCAAAATGTGGCTTAACAAATGCTAATGGACAATATCCATTGACAATTTATTCAGAACCCATCAGTCCATTGCCAACCCTGGTACTAACTATCCAATAGCCCTATGAAAAAATAGTTACAAAAATAATAAAGAAATTTACAGATAATATATGGAATATAATATATATATATATAATAATAAGGTTATATAATAAATTAATACTAAATAAGTATATCAAATAGATATGGAATTTCTGCTGATACAGAATTAATACTTAATTAATATATTGAGTAGATACATAATTGCCGTTACTACAGAATTAATGCTTAATTAATATATTGAATAGATACGAAATTGCCATTGCTACAGTATTAATACTCGATTAATACATTGAATAAATACAGAATTATTGTCGTAATACATAATTAATATATTAAATATGTACGGAAATACTGTTAATACAGAATTAATACTTAATTAATATATTGAATAGATATTTAATTAATATATTGAATAGATACGAAAGAACTGTTGATACAGAATTACTTAATTAATATATTAAATATATACAGAAATACTGTTGATACAGAATTAATAGTTAACTAGAGATTGCGAATGCGAGCAG